TTTTTCCTGAAGCCAATAATTCCCAAGCCTGTTTAGCACATAAGCCCCTGGCTCAAAACCTTGGGCCAGATTACAAGCTTCTTACTTTTAGGTGATCTTGGAACCTTATCCTGTTTTTTTCTGAGTTGCTAAAAAATGATATTAAAGGTAAAATCATGTTCTAATAAGGAACTTACTAAACTCTTTGTGGTAGGAATTTGCTAAACTCTTCACAGTAGGTGGATGGTAGGAGTTTTCCTAAACTGGAAGGTTCATTCTGTGTTACTTTTTTATGATCCAGACACTCTCAGTGAGCAGTAGAAATGCTGTGAAAGATTCACAGTGGTCTTTTACCAGGGATTTGAGATGACTTAGGAATTACAACCCTACTTCTTTCTTAGTACAAAGGGCTATTGTTACAGAGGAGGGTGCAGGATGTGATAAGACCGAATGCTGTATTGTGGTTAGGAACATGAACTTCGGTACCAGACAGACCTAGATTTAAATCCTGCTTCAACATGTACTAGCTTGAGGACCTCATAGAAGTCACTTAACCTCCTGGTCTTTAGTTTCCTTACCTATGAAATAGGAATAAATATAGTCTCCTTAACTAAAAAAGTTGTAAAAATTAAATGACATCTTGTGTATAAAATACCCAGGACCATGTAGGACACAAACTGAACACCCAGTAAGGTAGTGATGTTTTCATGTATTAAGGAGATAGAAAAGTAAATATAAATTAAAATATCAGAGAAGATTCTGGCATCTGTATCTTATGAGGTTTATAATGAATTTGGGAAAGAAGTCAATAACATAACTTTTCTCACGAATCCCCCCAAATAGTGTGGTTTTTACTTTTCATGTTGGCTTAAGTTCCACTGAGCATAGAACTAAGTCATTAATGGTGACATCTTCCAAACTTGGCTGATGCACTCAAAATGTATCCAAATCAACACTATGTTCTATTAAGAAGCAGGAAAGTCTATCTTTGCTCCTATTCTTTGATGTGGTTCAATGAAGAACATACAGACTTCACTTTAACATCTATTCAGAGGTGTGGTTATTAATGGAAATATTCCATTAATATTAATGGAATATAACAGGAAAAACAAGCTGCAGGGAAAACAAATCTACTTCATTCCTTTCTCAATGTTTGCCAGGATGTCGTGATGTAGACTTGCAATTAAACCCATCTCTAAGGACATTTGTCTCTTCATCTTTACCTGTGTCTTCTACTGTGGCTAAAATAAAGTCTGGTGACACAGAATTGGTACTTTCATGGAATTAGCCAGGTGGAAAAGTGAGGTTGAGGTTGTCATGGCCTATCTAAGAAGCAGGGAAATATTATCTGTAACTACCTAAGCTCCTTGAACGATAATGAAAACATTTCTTAGAGTCTTGAGCAGTCCTTGCCTAAGAATTTTGAGTGCCTGTCTCACTTTAATTACGAGACTGGTTTCACCAACAGCTAAGTATTTTACTTAAAAATTCAGCCTGGCCACTTGAATTACTTTATACAGTATCTTTGATGTGTATACTTTAACAGGGGAAAAAATAGATCACAAATTATTAAGGTCATAACCACCTCATAGAAATCTGGATAATACAGAGAATATCTTAAAAATAAAAGAATGCCACAGAGGTTTGAAAAGTGATGATAATTTTGTGATATTGCAATATAAATGCATAAATTAATCAATGAACTAACCAATGAATGTTCATTGTAATTTTGATCTACATAGAACTGGATGAAGTTGGAACAGGGAAGGTGAATAGTATGGAAGGAATATAAGAAGTGACCCTTGAAATTAATCAGGAATATAATATAAAGAATATAAATGAGGGCACAATTGTATACTTCATGTCACAGAGGTGTAGCGACTTCAGACGTTGGTGTCTTTTCTATACAGCTTTTGAAATTGTGTAAATGTTTCATTTTTTCTGTAGTATTTTAAGCCAGCTGCTGCTTTTTTTCATACCAGTTTTATCTAAGCCTCTATTTAGATTTCCATAGAAAGCAAACTTTCCGTGTCCCTGCATGTCTGGATCACCTTGTCAAGATAATCATGTTTATCAGAAGTTCTAAACATTTCTGTGCTCAGGACTACTTGGGTGTCTAAACAATATTTGCAAGATGACCTTCTGATTGTCACAATAAAGGTCTCTGACCACTTCTCTCTGTCAATCAGTGTTCACACATCTTGAAGCTGTCTCTAATCACTGACCTACTGCTGCTTTCATGTCAAGTAATTGCCAATTCATACTCATATTATCCAGCCACTGCTATTTAGTATGCAGTTTCCCTTAACTCCTGATTTCCTGCCCAATAACAGCATTTTCCAGCACAAAAATTTTCCACATCGGAAGGAGTTGGGGAGAATGGTGCCCCATATATGGTAGAGAAAAGCAAAATGAATTTGAGGGCTAAAAAACATACCTATAGAAATTTCCCTCAAATCTTGTCCACCAGCAGTTCTCAAACTTTAGCATGCATCAGCCTCACAGAGACACACCTTGAGAACCACTGCCACACACGGGGTAAAATAATTCCCAAATATCACTTAATGTTTGAAAGGCTATCACATTTTGCTCTGTGCTAGGGAGTGCTAATCCTGGGAGCCCCTGGAGACACCTTGAGAAGATTCTAAGAATACATGGTACTCTTGCAATTATATTTTATATTGCACAAGCAAGTGTGAGATTAATTCTGGACACCTGAGAAAGCCTATTGCTCTCAGAAGATCTCAAAGGACTCACATACCCAAACATTTTGTAAGGACCCCCCACTGATGCCCTGCAGAGAGAGCCAAGCCAAAACATTTGAGGAAACATTGATATTAGAATATCACAGAATGTGTAATACTTATTTTTATGGTTAATAGAATAATTCTATTATTACCATTGACCTTTGTAATTAATTTCTCCCTTCTTTTGTGATTATTCACTGACTTCTACCAAGATGCATATCAACCAAGCAGTCAGTAAATATAAAGCACCTGTTATAGGCCTAGCATGGTGTTGGCTCAGTGGGGTACCCAAAGACTGTGGAATTCCTGCTTGCAGGTAACTATGGGTGTCACCCACTCTGACATCTACTACTTTTAAGCCCTGTGAGAGGAAGAACTTTGCTTTTCTTGCCCCAAACTCTGTCTTGTGTACCTAGAAGAGCACCTAGGAAATCAGAGGAGCACAATGATTATTAAATGAGTGGGTTAAATACCTCAAGGCTTTGTACTATAAACGCATGACAATATTGCCAAATGGACAAAATGTCCACAGTGGCTGACTGGACAAAACTCTTACAACCTGGAGAATACTGCTGAATAAAGGCAATGTGGGACCCAACCAATAATTCATACTAATGAACTGCCAAGTTCACTTAATAGGGAAAACAAACTGAAGTTTAAATATGACAGTTTCAAATCTTTCTTTACTCCAGATAATTGGCACAGGAAAGAACTCAGTTAAAAGAGCACAGGCTTGGAAGATTACCTCTCTACCACATGCTTTTCCTAACCAGCAACAATGTGGATGGCAAAAGATTCAGGAAACGAAAAGCATGCTGCCTGACCACACATATCCATCATGCTCCTGTCGATAAGCGTAAGGCAGGGAAGCCCTTACCTAGACTGAAGGCTGATAAATCATCTGTCTAGTTTCACCAAACCTCAAGGGGCTGCTCAGCTTTGCAAAGCTGAAACCCTTGTCAGCCTCTGCATCCATTCAAACAAGGGCACCACGTTAAAAGGAGGCAGGCTGTGAGATTTCCCAAGGAATCCCTAGTTGCTAAGTGCATTAAATCCTACTTCGAATTCAGGCAAAAGAGTTATTGTCTCTCAAAAATACTGAAAAAGTTATTTTTGGGTGTGTACAAATGCTGGCTATATTAAATAAACAAACAGGAATCTTAGTGATTTCCTACATTAGGCCATCTATTCTTAATACTGGGGTCCTTCCTATTGCATTATCTCTATGGAAGCACACTCACATCCTCACGCACATTAAAATAAAGAACATTTCTTCTTCTTGGGAAACACCTGTCCTGGGAGTTCTTGGTTATGCAGCTTCTGAACATGCACAGGGTCAAGCATGCAAATGGTGCAGTGACTCTTTTGGAAGTCACATTTGTCCCTGAAACTTCAGTCACCTGGAGACTGCATGCCTCATTGCCTGCAGCAGCTCAATCCTGACAGTGTAGAATGAGTTCAGAAATCTCATTTGAGCAACAACATTTAAATGGAGAGTCTAAACAGCACAATATATTTAATGCTGAAACAATCATTCTTTGTAATTCTTGCTGACTGCATTTTTTTTCTTTTATTAATGGGCTGTTATAATCATCTTGCTTTGGTTTGGTTTTTTTTTTTTATGGGAAAGGAGGATAACAGGACTCAGTAAACTACTCCATCAGTTAAGTGCACATCCCTATTTTTATACATAGAAAATTCCTGCTTCTTTTGCTATGCAAACACACATACACATAATTCCTGGAATCCCTACTACATTCACAACCCACTGCTTTCAGACACACACTCGCAGGGCACCAAAAATACAAACTCCTTACATGCCCAAATCAAGCCAGGTGGAAGATGGAAAGAGGTGGATATGGCACCAGGTGGACGTGTAATCAGTAATAAGAAATACATTGAGCCCATAATGAAATCCCCCAAATTGTTCAGGATTCCCCCTCCCCCTTCCATTCACTGATTTATTAACCCTGAACAAAGATGTAATTGCAGGGTCTCAGAAATAACTTTTTTTTTTCTTTTTCCTTTTTTTTTTTTTAATTTTTGGCATTGTTTTGTTTGGCCTTGAATTTCTTAATATCTAGCCGTACCATTCATTGCCTCTTTTCTTCCCTCAGTTGCCCATCTCCCTCCTCCCCACCACCACCACCACAAATGAAAGAAGCATTAGCTTCTGAGTCTTAAGGATGAGACCTCTGCATTTTCTTTGCTTGTTTAGGGCAAGAAATGAAGTGCTGCCTCTTTAATTGGCAGAAGCATGCAGAAGGAGCATACCTTTAATTTAGTGTTGGGATACCTCACTTGCACCCTGGCTGTTGTCTTATTGGAGACGGCAGCCTGCCTGAGATCCTCTAGCACTGAAATAATATCATCCAGCACGCATTTCTTATCCTGATTTCTCAACACACACAGATGGGAAAAAGTATAATTATAGCCCTTGTGGTTCACCTTCATTTCCAGCACGGCTCGGTGGGTCTGCAGGATCCCCTCAGCCTGGAGCAAAATATTGTCCCCGGGTGGGGAGAGGAGGATCACCCTGCCATACCTCCCAGGGGTGTGTAAGTCCGAATAGAGCTGGCTTTTGGACTGGTCCAGGGGGAAAAGGCTGCTGGCCAGGCTGCGCTCGATCTTGGCCAGGCTGTGGCTGGGAGCGACCAGGCGCTCCAGGTCGCCCTCGGGCTCGAAGCGGTTGAGCGCGCTGAGGCCGAAGGTGATGGTCAGGACTGCGGGGACGGTGAGGAAAAAGACCGGGTGCCGGCTCACGCACAAGCCCAGCCTGTGGCAGAACGACTGGAGCCCTCTGCGAAGCACCTGCCGCAGCATCCTCCACCAGATCCAGCTCGCAGGCGCTCCCGGCCGTCTTAAAAAGCACATGTGACATGTGTAAGCGCCGGGCTATCCCGCTTTCCCCCATCCCACCCCCTCGGGGCCACCTCCCCGCCGCCGCCGCCGCCTCCCCTCCCCACCCCCCTGCGCGCGCTCACCCCCCAGCCACTCCGCCTGGTCTTTCCCCGGCCCCACCTCCATGCGCTCCTACTACTCTTTCAAACACTGCAGCAAGTTGCAGCAGGGCGGGCGAATAGCCACGGCGCGCGTGGGGGCGGGCGGCGGGGGCTGCGGGGGCGCCGCGGGGCCCACCCCTCCTCGGCCTCCCCGCGCCCTCGCCGCCTCCCGCGCTGCCTCTCACCGCATGAGCCGCGTCCCCGCGGTCTAGCCCCTCATCTCGCTGCTGCAGTCCCCGGGCCTCTCGCGCCGGAGCTGGTTCCGCGCGGAGCGTCCCACGGATGTGAATTTCCTCCCGGTCCCGGCGGGGTTCGGCGCCCAACTGGAACCATGTGCCTCGCTGTTGTAAGAGGCAGACATGTGCCCCATAAAGGGGGAGGGGAGGAGGGCCAAGGGAAGGGCGGGAGCCGGTTGAGGGGGAGGGGGGCAGCTGAGCTTTTCCTTTTTTTTTTTTTTTTTAAGATGCTGACAGTTATTTTTAGAGTTTTGTGTTCCCTCTTCCCTCCCTGCTGTAGTGAATGGGAGAGGAAATGGGGAAGGTGCTGCTGCCCCATTGGAGCAGGGGCCATTAGAGCCCCAAGAAGGAGGGGGCGTGGAGGGAGAGGGCTCCAGGGCTCCAGGAGGCAGCCTCCTTGCCCCTCCACTTTCCCTGTGCCCTCGAATGAATTCTGCTTTTTGGGGAAGCAAGGGAGCAGAGAGGATGATGCTGCATTTTTAACATGCCACAAAGCATGCAGGGGCTTTCCTCGCCGCACCTTCCACGCTGTCGTTTCACAGGCGGGCCCGCCGCAGCGGGGGGCTGCCGGAGACCCCAGCCATCTGCGGGGCACTGGGGCTCCCCGGAGCCCTTCCCAACTCTGGTGGCCGGAGAGGAGGCATTTGCCAGTAGCAGTCGCCTGTGGCTTGGGGAGGGGGGTGGTGCGTGTTGAAAGTGAGGATGTACAGGCAATATGTGGTTTCTCATAAAATATTACGTCCACTTTTTACGTACTCTTTGAGGTTTAAGGACCGAAAGTTCATAGAGCTGATTTCAGTCCCCACGAGCCATTGTTCTCTTCCCTCCCTCACCCTTGAGGACTTTGTTTCAAGCCATCTAATGTAGGCTAATTTTCTCCTGTGAGTGGAATTCCTGAAACAGGACACTTCCAGGCGCGCATCAGGTAGTCTTTGCCAGAAGAAAGAAAGTGGTGCGGGTAGTGGGAAAACACACTGGAGTCGCTTGATGTGGAAAACTGTGAAGAGTCTTTTGTAAGAAAGAAACCCCCACCAGGAACAGGTCCTCCCTCCGCACCCCAAAGTATGAAAATGAGGAACTCTCAGCTTTGGATCAGATCAACTTCAAAAACTTTACTGTTCATAAGTGTGTGTACGGGTGTATTATCTTTCACCCAATGGGGCTTTCACGAGTTCATGCTCTGGAAGGGTTATGAAGAAATCTCGAGGACAGATTCTAAAGTTTGATTGCGAACTGGAGACCTACTTTCCAAAAAGCTTCTGTTCTTTGTGGAATGACCTCATAGAGAAGACTGAGTTTCAAGAGATGTTTCGTGCACACTTTCTTAATAACCGTGAAAGTGCCCGTTCTTCATTAGATGCTTAGAGAGGTATGCATCTGTGCATACAGACAAGCTAAAGGACTCAATCTCTTAATAAGGGTGTTTTATTTTCTCTAGTGGAATTGATTCTTCAGTTAAGAGACCAATGAGACAGCAGAGAGCTCAGAAGCAGGGACAGTGCTTAAGGACAAGAGTCTAAGAGAAGGTGTCATCTATATAAAGAAAAATTCCCGCCTTTTAAAACTGAGAGTAACCTTGGTGACCATTCAGTTTGAATTCCTACTGAGTGCAGTAACAGCTTTTACAATATCCCTGACAGTTCTCCATCTGGCCCATGCTACAACATTCTTCACGTCTAAGAACTCACTCATTTTTCTAGGAAGCTCATTCTCTTGTAAGACTTGTCTTTTCTTGTGTTTGGCTGAACTCAGATCTCCTTGCAGCATTGATAGATGTTCTCCTTCAGTGGGAAGAGCCCCCTTTGCATCCAGCTGTCAGATCTTCATATCATTTCGTATAACGTATTCCATTAGTGCCACATGATGGGAAATTTTTGACTATACAGCAAAGAGGAAATGTATCTATTATCCATTTTCAACACTCTATTACATTACCTACACTTGGTCATATCCTCTACATGAAATTTTCTAATAGCTTTTTTGCAAAATATACAATAATAGATTTTAGGAATGGACACTGTTGAATAAATTTTCTATTCCTTTTTATATATAAGGACACTATACTAGGAACTGTAGAAATTAAGTGACTTCCAGGCCACACTTAGAGTTATTAAATATTTGTGAAGCTGAGACTGGTATCTGGCTATCTCGTTCCTTAGCCTATGGCATTTCCCTTGGTAGCATCAAACAGCTTACTTCTTCTTTTAATAAACAAATATGTCAGTATTATTTCCTCTTTATTTATTCTCTCTATTTTTTTCACACTTCCTTACACAATGACTTTAATAGAATTAGGAAAGAATAAAAATACTCCTATATAACTGATTAAATAATGTGTGGTGTATTCCTAAAACGAACTGCTCTAATATAATTATGCTGTAGAATTATAACAGCATGGGAATATATTCACTAAATGTTAAGTGAAAAATGACTTACAATATGAAACTTTGAAAAATAAAAATATATTCATGGAAAAAAGATAAAGTCTGTGTTAAAATATTTATGCTTATTGCTAGAGGATGGGGTGTGGGTGATTTTTTAAAAATAATAAATTTCTTAATTTTAGAACAGCTTTAGATTATAGAAAATTTACAGGCAGTAAGAAATTTATAGAAAATTTACAACAGAAAGTTCCTTTATAACCCATACCCAGTTTCCCCTATTATTAATATCGTACATTAGAACGGTACATTTGTTATAATTAATGAAGCAATATCAGTACATTATTATTAGCTAAAGTTTATGCTTTATTCAGATTTCATTAGTTTTAATCGCATGTCCTTTTTATGTTCCAGGATCCCATACAAGGTACCACGTTGCATTGAGTTTTCATGTCTCTAGAAGCTCCTCTTTTGGCCATGACAGTTTCTCAGACTTTCCTTGTTTTTGATGACCTTGACAGTTTTGAGGAGTATTTGGTCAGGTATTTTGTAGAATGTCCCTCAATTAGAAATTGTCTGATGTTTTTCTCATGATGAGACTGGGGTTAGGAAATTTTAGGAAGAAGAACACAGAAGGAAAGTGCCATTTTTATCACATCACATCAAATGTATATTTCGTCAAAGTGACTTATCACCTTGAACCTGGGGATCACTCACGTAAAGTAATGTTTGTCAGGTTTCTCCACTGTGAAGTTAATCTTTTTACCATCTTCCATACTGTCTCTTTTTGAGGTAAGTCACTATGTATAGCTTCCACTTAAGGCGTGGGAATTTAAGCTCCACCTCCTTTCTCCTTGAAGTTGGAATGTATATAAGTTATATGAAATTCTCCTGCAACAAGATATTTGTCTATTCTATTTATGTAGTCAGTCATTCAATCCTTTATTTATATTGATATGGACTCATGGACCTTTCTTTTTTACAACTCACTTCTACTTTGTTGCTCAAATTGTTTCAACTTTGCCAACTGGGAGCTCTTTCACTTAGCTCCCATGTTTCTTTGACACCCATTATTGGGGGTGCTGTTTTCCTTTTCTAAAAAGTATCCATTAATCTCTGGTCCTACAATATGCTTCAGGCTCATCTTGTATATGTTTCCTGCATCAGCGTTAGAATTAGCCACTTCTCCAAGGAGTCCTGGTTTGTTTTATTGGAAAATGGTATGAGAAACAGAGATCTGAATGCTAGATATACTATTGGGGTGCTATTTGGGTGTCATTGCTTCTAATTCCTTCCAGCCAACAGAGCAAGAAAATTACATGAGTGTATACTAAGCCATGCATATGCATATCTGTAAATAGTTCTTTATATAACCATCTATACCTATATTAAGCTAAATAGGAGTTTATATTGACGCCTCCAACTCTATTGTCACATAGATCACTTTAACTCCTTTCCCTTATTTATCTGTAATCTCCCATTCCAATAGTGAAAAACCTGACTCTCTGGGTGATTTTTAAATTGCTTTTTTATAATAAAAACATACCTAAGTGGACATATAGGAATAACATTTATCGGGTGTTGGGCGGGTGGGAGAGGGAAGAGGGGACATGGGCAATATATGTAACCTTAACACTTGTGCCCCCATAATATGGTGAAATAAAAATAAATACATAAAAAAACATACCAATATTTTATTAGAAAAACTCTTTTAAAGGAAGGAAAAAAGTATGATTATTCAGTTTCAATGCTGTGAAAAGCTAATGTTAAATACTGTTAGGGATTAATTAGAAAGATAAATTATATGCTAAAAAGAAGGGAAATGTTAGCAATATTCCATATCAACCTACACAAAATTAATTTTCACCAAAACATCAGTGGGTATTGATCACATGATAATTCTTGCAAATATGATTTAAAATAAAGCTTAACAAAAAGCTAAAAGCAGTGGGTAGGGGCCAGTCAGTAACAACACATTAATTGATACTATTTATTTCATACAGAATTTGTCTTTTCTGATAACTCTTGGTCAATATCAGTTATCAGGACTTGGAATCAAGTTGGGATTTATTAGCTTGCCCTTTGCAAGATGGAACACCAGAAGGATCTAGACTTGGATGTAGACCAGCTGAGTTCTAGGTGAGTTCCATAATTTACTTCCTAGGTGTTTTGGGTGAGACACCTAACTCTCTGATTCTGTTTCTTTATTTATAAACCTGGATTACGCTAACCCACTTGTTCAGTTTTACTCACATCACTATTCACCGAAACTCTGTAAGTCTGCTGTATCAATTAATGCTGTAATACTCGCAATTCTAACAAAGAAGTCTCCAAAAACGAGTGGTATAATACAAAGTGTATATCTTGTTCAAGGTTAGCAGTCGCTGTGGATATTTCTGGTCAGCATGGGGGAAGTTAGAAGACAGAGCCCTCGATTCCACAAAGTCATTCATCCATCTTCAACTTTTGACTTTAAGGTCATTCCCAAGGTCATTTCCTAGCCAACTAGTTGAGAGGGGGAAAAGAGCCTAGAGGAGCACACCTGGGAGGTTTTTATGTCTTGGTCTTTATAGCACATCACATCTTCATGCATGCATTTCTCTGATTATAACTTAACCTTCCAGGAGGCTGCATAATGAAGTTTAGCTGTGCACCTAGGGGGAAGAGGAGATGAATTTGATGACTAGGAAGCAGACTCTCTCACCCTCTTTCTGGATTCTTTTGTCCTGTTTACCCCAATTCCCTATTATGTGTGTAAGGCT